GTCCTTTTGTGATTGACTTATTTTGCTCAGCCCAATGTCTTCAAACTCCATCCATGCCGTAGACAGCATATGAAGACTTCATTTCTTTTTCTGGCTCAGTAGTATTCCATTATATGTATGTATCACATTTTGTTTATCCATTCATTTAGTGATGACATTTAGGTTGTTTCTGCCTTTTGGCTATTGTGAAAATGCTACAGTGAACATTGGTGTCCATACATCTATTTACACCATTGCCTTCAAATCCCTTGGATATATTCCTAGTTGTGGAATTTCAGGGTCATACAGTTCTATTTTTCAGTTTTGAGGAATCATGACACTGCTTTCCACAATGACTAATGATTGTATCATTTTGCATTCCCACCAGTAATGGATAAGGGTTCCAATTTTCCCATATCCTTGCTAACATTTGTTATTTTCCAGTTTTAAAAATCTTAACCATCCTAGTGGGAATGAACTTGTATCTCATTGTGGTTTTGATTTGCGTCCCTCTGATGTCTGGTTTTGGTTTGAAGTCTAAAGTTATTGAGCATCTTTTGTTGGTCATTTGAATATCCCCTCTGATGAAATGTCTTTTTAAGTTCTTTGTCCATTTTTTTTGTGTGTGTTATTTCTCTTTTTGTGGTTAAGTTGTCGAAGTTTTATATATATTCTTATTAGATTCATATTGGATATATGGTTTCTGAAGATATTCTCCCAATTGATACCTTGCCTTTTCTTTTTTTGGTAAGGTCTTCTGATGAACAAAATTTTTAATTTTTATTTTGTCTTTTGCTGTTTGTGCTTTTTGTTTATTTGTTTGTTTAGATAATCTATATGTAAGTCTTGGGTCCTGTTTCATTTTTCTGCATGTGGAAATCCAATATCCCCAACACCATTTATTACAGAAACTTTTATTTCTCCATTTAATGGATTTAGCTAGCACCCTTGTCGAAAATCAATTGACCATAGAGGTGTAGCTTTATTTTATTGGTCTATATGTCTCTTGATATACCATTTTTGTTTTGATTACTGTAGCTGTATAATATGTGTTGAAATCAAGAAGTGTGAGTCCTACTTTGTTCTTCAAAATTGCTTTGGCTATTCGGATCCTGTTGCTGATCTTGAGGATTGGTTTATCCATTTCTGTAAAGAAGGTTCTTGGGTTTTTGATTGGGATTTGTGTTGAATCTATGTATCTGTCTTAACAATATTAAGTCTTCCAATCCATGAAAATGAAACATCTTTTCATTTATTTAAGCTTTCTTTAAGCTCTTGCAGCAGTGTTTTATAATTTTCATTGTCAAAGTCTTTCACATCCTTGGTTAAATGTATTCCTGGGTATTTTATTCTCTTAGATGGCTATTATAAATGGAATCATTTTCCAGTACTTTGAACCAGTTCATTCTGTTTTGACTACCTGCTAAGAATTTGCATTTCTACCCTAGCTATGGAAATTCTCAGCAGGGGGTCAAAGTAGAATGAATCAGTTCAAAGTCCTGATCATTTTAAAGTTTTCACTAATTTCAACATTCTTATTGAGAGGCAGACAGACCCAAACTGATTCTCCAGAGAGCTCTGTCCTGTTGATTTCAAAGATCTGAGTTATGGGGTACATAATCAAATAGGCAGGCAGAGTGCGGGCTATGAGCACCTCTACTACAGGGGGCCTTCTGAAGCAATTTGCAGCATCCTGGCAGCTGCCAGTTCCTAGGAGGGGAAGGAGCCTGCAGGTTCTGAACTGACCCCCTAGATGGTCTGCCTGGTTGATTTTAGAGCAGGAGCTTAGGGTCTTGTCTGTTTGCACAGATTTGAGATGTGGTGATTAAAGAAACAGGCTCTTGCTGAGGTCACTTCCCCAGTTCTCAGCAGCTAGAGGTCTAGCTAGAGGTAGGGAGGAAGGATAGGGACAATGGGAGAAGCTGTTTTCATACTGTATGTGACATACTGTTGATTCTTGTCCATCCACAGTTCCCGACTGCTGTCCTCTGCTCCTCTATTCACAGCCCATCAAGACTGAGCACCATTTTCTTATTCTATCTCCTGGTGTATCTGTAGAGGTGGGTCACAATGATCTATTTATGCCATCCTCTTCCCAGAATCCTATCTTAGTGTTTTCAATTGCTCTTTATATTTCTCAAGTTTCTCAGAAAATTCAGGGTTTATTTAGTCAATTAAGTATTCTCACTCTTTTTCTGTTCTACTAGGGTTGCATCATGCTATTAGAAAGGTCCTTAGCTGTCCATTGTCAGTCCAGCCACATCCTGCTGTATCTCTATCCATGCAGGTAACTCTGGGTTCTACCTCCAAGGCCCCTTCCAGCCCACTAGCCCTCATGTAGCTCAGCCATACCTTTCTTGTTCTGAATGAACTGAGACTGAGTTTGGAGAGCAGATGTGCATAGCTCTGAAGGATACTATAGCTACTTTCCACTACAAAATGAATACAGCCTTTATTAGTCCTTGGTCTTGCAGGACTTTGATTTTTGATGCTGAAAACCCCTAAACTCAAACTTTATCTATTATATCTGATGTCAGTTTGAAAACTCTTCTTTGAAGCTTGAAATGTGGGTTATGACCAGTGACTTTTTCTTCCTGTTCCTCCTGTAACCTGGATGCAGAGAATGTAGACACCTCTCTGCTGCCTGATGATAGGGTCAGAGAAATTGCTAACAGATTTGTTCACATGTCACAGAACAGACACCACAGAGCATTGTTTCAGGCCTTAACCCTTACCTCTCAGTGATACTCAAATTCTGGCTGGTTTGTATATTGATACAAGATAATTAATATGAGCTTAGGTTTCCCTAGCCAAGAACAAGGGGAAAATTCACCCATGAGGCTATATTGTCTGATCCTGGCCCTGTGTGTGTGTGTGTGTGTGTGTGTGTGTGTGAGAGAGAGAGAGAGAGAGAGAGAGAGAGAGAGAATGATTGTGGAGAAAGAAGAAAGATCATTAAAAGCACTAAACAATTTGTTCCATGGTAGTTGGGCTGTTTGAGTTGATACTTATTCTTCAGTCCAGTTGGTCCTTAGTGATGTCCTGCTCCCACCTGCTGATAAATGCCCACTTCCTGCTTGTTCTTTCCTTACTGTGGTCACTCATTCACTGTCTCACCCACCACCTTGTCCTCCCACACTTGCTGCCCTGGAAGATGACCTCTGCCTTCATCACCTATCAGTCAGAACCTTGCTACGGCCACCTCCAGTGGGCCTGTTGTAGACCTATCTGCCCCTCAGCCAGCCCAGTAAGCTATTCCTTTCTTCTTATTCTCTTCACTTTGGGTATGGACACCTCCTCCTGTTGCTCCTCTGCAGCAGTGGCCCTGGTAGGTGACTTTTCTCTCCCAGTGTTCTATCAAAGATCTATTTTCTTTGCCTCCTCATTCTCTCTAGCTGATCTCATCCACCTCTATGGCTGTGATGATCAACTTTGTGCTGATAACTCCATTCTGTCACAGTCCAGGCCTCCTCTGAACTCTAATCTCACATATCTGCTGCTTCTTAGCACCTCCACTTGGATGGTGCACACACATCTCATAGTCATCAGGCCTGATAGTTTCTGTCCCTTGAGCATGTGTCTTCTCCCTTGAGCTCCCATTGGAGAAGGACAATTGAAGGGAGGGTAAGGAGTGGTCAGGGGTGTCCCCTGCAAAGAGACGAGGGTCAGGAGCCAAACACTGGACATCCTTCTCCACATTCCTTTTCACCCAGTCAACTCCAAGCCACATCCACTGCCTCCTGGGTGTCTGAATTCCCACAGCCTTTTCCTTAACGCAGGCAAAAATGAGCTCTCCCCACCAGATGACTGCAGCAGCTTCCTAACATCCCTTGCTCCTAAGCATTCCCACTTCCTTCTTAGTCTCCACACTTCACTTTCTAAAGTCCAAATGTGATGATGGTCTTCCTTCTTTAAAATTTTCCAATGGCTCTCATTTGACTGCAGGATAAAGTAAAACTTGGATTTAGCCTAAAAGGGCCTAAACACTCATTGCAACCATTCCAGGCTCCTTGCAGTTCTGAAAGCCCTGTCAACTTCCTCAGTGCCTAGAATTCTTCCTCAGCTGTGCCTTAGCCTTGCTAAATCCCACTCACCCTTGAATTCCTCTAAACCAAAAACCAAACTCACTGCCATTGAGGGCATTTTGACTCCTAGTGACCCCCACTGGGTTTCCGAGGTGGTAAATCTTCATGGAAGTAGGTTGCCCCATCTTTCTTCCATGGAGTGGCTGGTGGGTTTGAACTGCCAACCTTCTTGTTAGCAGTCAAATGCCTTAGACACTGCACCACCAGGGCACCTTTGAACTCCTCCACCAAGCCTCTAAATGTGTGTTGACTATGAACCAGGCTGAAATATGTACATTTTGCTTGTGATAACTCAATCAATCCTTGTAACCAAGAGTTTGATATGTTATCATTACAGTTTATGAAAGAGGGAATTAAGTCCAGATAAATTAAGTGACTGGAGATTTCAGCCCAAGCATCCTGGATCCAGAGACCACCTCCCTTGTGTACCACACCACCTTATCACTATTAGTTTTTGTTTTGTTCTGTTTTTCTCCAAACCCAAACTCACTGCTGTGGAGTTGAATCCAACTCATAGTGACCCCGCTTGGGTTTCCGAGGTGGAGTCTCTATGGAAGCAGATTGCCCAGTCTTCCTTCTGAAGAGTGGCTGGTGGGTTTGAGTTACCAGCCTTCTGGAGACTGTGCCACCAGAGCTCCCTACTGAAGATTTAAGCTCAGTGAAGGCAGAAACCATGTCAGTTGTATTTAGTTTGTATCTTTCATGTGAATGAATCTTAGGACTCAGTTCACTTATCAGTAAACTGGGGATTTTTATTTCTGACATGCAATGTTAGTGGGGAAAATTAATGAAATCCCTAATGGAAAGTGATCAGCCCTTAAGGGACCCTGGGGACAGACAGCTCCTGAGGACTTCCCTTGTGGTAGCTCCTCTGTGGATGCGGCTGTCCTTCCAAGAGCCCTCCCTCAGCTCCTACTCTTTGCTGTTTCTTAGCAGATGGGCTTCCCAGTCCACACGAAGGCCCAGAGGCAGCTGGCCCAGTGGATCTGAAGCCAAGCTCCCTGGCGAAGCCGGTCGCTTTGGTGAAGCCCTTCGAACTTACACTGCGTGTCCCGGTCCAGCGAGCTCACACTGTGGAGAGGAGCAGGCGTGGGGACAGAGGCCGCCCAGGGAACCGAGGCCGCCGGCGCGCCAGGCCCCGCATGGAACTGCGCCAGGTCACCGGGCCAGACCTGCGAATAGAAGGGGGCCGAGAGGCAGCAGGCTCCCGAGGGGAGCCGGAAACCTTGCCAATGCCGTCAATCCCTCTGACTGAAGCAGCTACTATGCCTGGAGGCACTCTGCCCGGCCACGACCCCCGCCCAACGCAGACTTCGCTCAGCTTGTGGATGCCACCCGATGCCATTGATTATTGGTCTCTCCTGGGGTCCGCTGCCTTCGCAGTTAACCCTGGCATAGGACCTAGACCACTGGCTGGCTCTGCTATGCAGGTTGTGCAGAACCCTTTAGGCACCTACGTGTGTGGTGTTCCAGCTTTCTTGGTCTATATGGAACCCTGATCTCTGACACTTTCCACTTGACTTCCAGAGCGGATCTGGGGTTTTGATAAATACTCTTTTCTACCAAGCTCTGAACCTGAATCCCCATTCTGCCCTTATCTCCCCACCCATATCAAACCTTCCACCCATGTTGTCCTGATGGAACCCCCAATCCCTCCTCCCACATCATAATAGGGTTGTATCTGCTTGAGGTGCCCTCTTGTCTCCTCTTTGTTAAAAAAAAAAAAAAATCTGTTTTATCAAGTACACATGCATTTAGTTCTTCAGTGCTTGTTAAAAATAAATCAACAATTTCTCTTTGTCCAGTTACCATTTTTGTCACTCATCAGATGTAAAACCACCAAACATTTCAGAAAAAAAGGATATGGTGAAAGAGAGAAAAAAGAAAAATTGTGCTTAAGGAAATAGAACTAATACAGCATTCAGAAAAATACTTTTAAAGAGTATAATTAATATCCTCAGAGAGATATAGGATAGATGTTATATCCCTGAAGCTATGGCATGTGCTTACATAAGAAGACAAACAGAGATATTTGAGATGAAAAATAAGGTTGTTGTGTCAATCACAAAATGGGCAGGATTGAGGAACAGCTTAGTTAACTGGATGTTCAGGCAGAGGGAGCCTCCCAGAACATAGCAAAGAAGAGATGGAAGATGTCACGTTAAGCCAGAAGTTGGGATATCTAACATAGGAGTGAATAGAACATTTGGATGTGAACAATATATGAAAAAATAATAGTTAATAACTTCCTGGAACTACTACATAGCAATTGGAAAATATAAAGTTTTGAGGTGAAATAACTTTGAATCTAGAATTCTGTAACTAATCACAGAGGTACTTTTGTGCTCTTGACTATATGGTGTAGATGTGAGGTCCTGAAATTCCCACAGCCATTTTATCAACATGGCAAGTGCTAGCCGGGGAGGTCACATGGAGGGAGGAAAGGCCTAGAGAAACAAGAGGAAAGGAGCCAGCATGCTAGTCAACTTGAACTTCAAGCAGGAGTCACCACTGAACTTGATTCCTATGAGCCAGAGTGAGTTGAGTTTTCTGTTACCTACAGTGAAAGCACATATGATGTTTTTCAGCCAGAAAAAAAGAAAAAAAAAAAAGTGGGAGGAAAGGACTAGTAGGTAAGAAAATTAGTAAACTGTATTATTAAGTCTAAATTGTGATTCTGGGAGGAAACTGTATAATCTGGAATTAAAATTTCCAAAAGATTTCAACATAGAAATTTGGGAGATAGAGGAGATCAGAAGGAACTAAAGGTTACTAAAGTTCTTGTCTAGTTCCTGGAAATTATATAGATACTGAATGTGAGAAAGCAATGGAAAATGGAACTCCGTGAAACATTTTTACATTTATGTACCCATCAGTAACCATTAGATGAATTGAAATAGAATGTAAAATTTTGAACAGACTGAGGAAAAGGTAGCTCATAGAAAGTTTGAAGAATCAAACAAAAGACACAGCGGGTTAACAAGGGGAAAACATTTAAAATACTAAATAAGGAGCAAATAATTTGATAGTAGCCTGCTTGGCTTGTTCCTGGCCTAGATGGCAATATTTTACCAATAAGAAGGATGTTTCTTCCTACAGGTTTCTTATCAGTATGCTTGGTCAAGTTGAGCTGGGTCCTATCTTTTCAGAGTTTAAGAAAAGTTTTATTGTGAATTGGATTTTCTATTTATTAAGTAGGTTTTGACCAGCTGATTCTAAGATTCATTTGTAAGAGAAAATGTCCAAGAAAAATGAGATTTTTTTCCATCAAAGGTGGGAAACTTGCCCTTGCAGATTCTGAGATATGTATTGAAATGCTTAAAACAGTATGGAATTCATGCAGAAATAAGAGCAGTAGATGAATAGAAAAGCACAAAGTTCAGAATCTGACCCTTATATCTTTCCCCATATTTAGGTACCATGTATCTTTCCCTATAATAATTCAAATATGTGTACATTAAAAGGATTTTGTGTGGTTTGACTTTAAAACAAATGAGACATACTCCAGGGTCACACTGAAGTGATGACAGGGTTCAGGCAGGTAACGTGTTAGTTGGCAGGTGTGGGGACTGGCTCATCTGGTGAACCCACACCCAATATAAAGTGGGCAGGGACAGACACCTTGTATCAAAGAACAAGTTGCTATATTGACTCATGATGACCCAATGCACAACATAACCAAACATTCCCTGGCCCTGTGCCCTAATAATTTGGTATGCTTGAGTCCATTTTTGTGGCCACTGTGTATTTTGAGTGCCTTCCAACCTAGGAGGCTTATCTTCCAGCACTATATTAGATAATATTCTGTTGTAATCCATGATTTTCACTGGTTAATTTTCAGAAGGAAATATCCAGGCCTTTCCCCTTAGTCTTAGTTGTAAGCCCTGCTGAAGCTTTTCTACCATAGGTGGTCATGGTATTTGGCTATGGTATTTGACCATAGCTTCCAACATCACAGCAACACACAAGCCACCACAGTGTGACAAACTGACAGATAGGCTGTGAGATGCATTATGTGTACCACCAAAAACAAGTCTTTGAACAGGACTGATCTCAGCTTGTCATTGGAGTCTGTTACACTTGACTGTGCAAGTTTTCACCCAGCCAATAAAATGGACATGCTTTATGGTATCCAATCAATCTCTGCTCCATGGATAAACTCTTTCTAATGTGTTTCTACTATCCAAAATTCATCCCTGAACATTTGTACATGGAGCCATAAGTACTGGTTCTTTTAATGTTATAAATTAAGTTCTCAAAGTCTGATTGCTATGTGAAACAGTATGGCTATATTTTAAAAATTGTTGTTGTTGTTATGTGCTGTTGAGTCGGACCTGACTCATAGCAACTCCTCCTTGGGTTTCTGAGGCGATATCACTATGGAAGTAGATTGCCCAACCTTCCTTCCAAGGAGTGGCTGGTGGTTTTGAACTTCCAGCCTTCTGGTTAGCAGTTAAGTGCCTTAAGCACTATGCTACCAGAGCTCCTATTTTAATAATTAGGTTGTATCAATGTCATTTCCCACCAGCTGGATATGAAGACACTAGTTCCTTGGATAAAAAATGTTATCTCATTATTGTTTTAACTTTAATTGTCTTGAATGAGTACTAAGTTTGAGTATCTTTTCATTTTCATTTCTTTCTTTGTTAACTGCCAGTACATATCTTTTGCACACTTCTTAAAGTTCGATTTTGTATCTTCTTAAAATCAATTTTTGTATGTGTTGCAGGTATTTTCCCCATTCCAGCTCTTCTCTTGAGACTTTGTGTATGCTGTTTTTCCCTGCCTCTGTGTCCAGCCTTCTTTCCTAGCCCATCCTTCCCTTTCACCCATTCATAGGCTGCTCTTTCTGTTCCTGGAACAGGCTCTACACTTTCCCCACTCAGGTTTACTGGGTTGCAGCTGACACAACAGGTGACCCACCTTGCACAGCAGTATGAAAAATGTTTTTTTTAGTCACTTCAAGGTCACCCACCATCATTTCATGATTTAATCAAATGGTTCTGGGTAAACTTGGCACCTAACCCAAGCCGTGGTCTTTTCAATCACTTCATATGTGTGGGAAAGCCAGTGATGCATTTGAATTGTGGTGTTGGTAAAGAATATTGAGTATACTATGGACTGCAAAAAGAATGAATAAATTAATCTTAGAAGAAATACAACCAGAATGCTTCTTAGAAATGAAGATGGTGAGACTTAGGCTCACTTACTTTCAACACATCATAAGGAAAGACCAGTTGCTAGAAAAGGACATGATGACTGGTAAAGTAGAGGGTCAGAGAAAATGAAGGAAACCCTCAATGAGAAGGACTGACACAATAGCAACAAAAATGGACTCAAGCATCATGAAGAGGGTGTAGGATCATTCTGTCATACATAAGATCACCATGAGTTGGAACTGACTCGATGGCAACTAACAACAAACTTGGCCAATTTAGGGTTTTCACAGTTAGAGCCTCCCTAGTGCTCCTTCCTTCAGGGGTTATATCTAAGCTCTTGCCAATGTTAATCCCTCAGGAGGTTCTTCTGGCCCTTGGTAGCAGTGACTTTCTAAATCTCTGCTGAGGAGACTTTTCTCCTGGTTCCTTGGTGTCCATCCACTCACCTTATCTAACTCACCTGGATCTTCCACCAGGTGACTCACTGCTTGCCCCCTGCACAAAAGAGCTCTGAACTTCCCCCTCAGCCCTCAGGTGGATGGGGCAACCCTACACTTGCCTCAGGCCCATTTTTACTCCTTTTTCAAGGTGTATAGAAACTAATAACTCACTTAAAAATTTTTTTGGTTGCAATTTGGGTGAAAGTTTATAGGGCACAATCAGTTTCCATACAATAGTTCATACACATTTGTTTCATGACATTGATTGCAATCCCCATAATGTAACAACCTTCTTCCCACTTCCTCCCTATAGTTACCTTTTCTCTGTGTTCTTCTTTTCTATGCATTCCAGACCTCTGAGCTATCTCCCTGTGCGAATACTGCCATTCTGATCTCCCATGTTTGATTGTTCTAAGGAATGTACCTACCAGGTATAAATATTCATCTTATATGCCTATCTATTGCTTGGCTGGAAGTCATGAGAGTGAGTTCCATTCCAGGTCCTAAGGGTGACTAGGGGCCATAGTCCTGGTGGTTTCACCAGTCTCTATCAGACCAATAAGCCTTGTCCTTTTTTTTTTTTTAATGATTTTGAGTTTTGTTCCATATTTTTCTCCCACTCTATCCAGGATGTTCACCACTTGTCTGTCAGTTTGTCATACTGTGGTGGTGTGGGTGTTGCTATGAGGCAGGGGGCTATGCCACCAGTATTTCAAATACTAGCAGAGTCATCCATGGTGGGCAGGTTTCGATGGAGTTTCCAGACTAAGACAGACTGGGAAGAAGGAAGGGGACATCTACTTCTCAAAGAATTGGCCAGTGAAAACCTTATGAATTGCAGGGAAACACTGTCTGATATAGCACTGGAAAACTTTTTGAATGGCCCTGAAACATTGTCTG